CACACACACACACACAAACACACACTTCTTTTCTCTGTGGCACAGCTTGGAGCAGCGTTATCTCCAAACCCTCCGCGCCGTGTTTTTTTTAGCTGCTTCCGCGCTCAGCAGTTTGGAGAGATGTGTGCGCAAAGCTTCCACCCTCCTCCCCCTCCTCCTCCTCCTCATTCTCCTCTTCATCCTCCTCCTCCTCCTCTTCCCTGCTCATTTCAGCATCCCAGCACTCCGGAGCAGCGCGCTCACAGAAGCAGAATAACGAGCTGATTTCATGCGACGAGGTTTAAGAATTAAAACAAACAAAACTTTGCGTTTAGTTTGATTTAACTTTTTAAATGTAATTTTTTTTGTAAGAGTTCACAGTGGATTTTTTTGCTGGATGCATGATGTAACACGATGCTGGATGCGATGATCGATTCCTGTCCGGACAGGAGGCACCGCGCGCACCTTTACGCACGCACGCAGGGCTCGCAGGATGGACAGTGGACGCACGTTCTGTCATGAAACGCTGCACGCGAGGAACCGGGCTCCTCCAACCCTGAACTTCTGGGACTCCATCATCCAGATTTCGTGCTTTTTTTWAAAAACCCTCCTCGTTTTGCAAAAAGAGCGAAGAAAATAAATAAGTAAATAAAAAAATGAGCGAAAACTGCAAACCTGCCAAAGAGCAGGGCTCCGCGCAAAACCCTCCGACGGATGTGATCGAGCTGAACGTGGGTGGGCAGGTGTATTACACGCGCCACGCCACCCTGACGGGCTTTCCGAACTCCCTGCTCGGGAAGCTCTTCTCCAACAAGAAGGGCTCCACGAACGACTTGTCGCGGGACCTCAGAGGACGCTTCTTCATCGACAGGGACGGCTTCTTGTTCCGATACGTGCTCGACTACCTCAGAGACAAGCAGGTGGTCCTCCCCGACCACTTCCCGGAGAGGGGCAGGTTGAAAAGAGAGGCGGAGTACTTCCAGCTGCCAGAGCTGGCCAAACTTTTGTCCGCGGACGAGTCCAAACTCTTCCCGGACGACCTGTGCTTCAGCGACCGGGACGACGAGTCTCAGGGCGGCGAGCAGAGGTTCTACCCGTCCCACTCCCTGGACAGGAGGTACGGCTACATCACGGTGGCGTTCCGAGGCAGGGAAGGCCAGGGCGACTCCAGGGCCAAGAAGTTCCCGCGGATCTTCATCAGCAGCAGGATCGGCTTGGCCCAGGAGGTGTTCGGAGACGCGCTGAACGAGAACCGGGACGCGGACAGGCCGCCGGACCGCTACACCTGCAGGTTCTACCTGAAGTTCAAGCACCTGGAGAGGGCTTTTGACATGCTGTCGGAGTGCGGCTTCCACATCGTGGCCTGCAACACGTCCCTGACCGCGTCCTCCTCCGGGGGCCATTACGCGGAGGGCAGGGTCTGGTCCAATTACGCACAGTACATCTTCTACCGTGAGTGAAGGCTTCTCTCAGCTCCTGTGCAAAAAATGCTTCCAGAAACGCACTAATAAGTCAACAAAAACACAAAGAATCAAATGCAAACTCCTTCCCTCCATTTTCCCCTAACTCCTCTGTCAGCTGCTGACATGAAACTTGTGTTTAAAGGTTCGAGATGTTCATGATCCCCCGGGGAAGTTGAGTCACAATGCAAGCACACATGCGTCATGCGTAAACACGGCAGATTCTGCCAGCCGCTGGGCTATGAATAATCCAGCACCAGTGGGCAGGAAAAGAAAGAGAGAAAGAAATGCTTTTATTCTTTGAATCAGTTGGAGACGATATGAAAAAAATGCGCACCAGAAATGAGCTTAATTAGCAGAGAATCTGGTCTCATTTCTGTGCAGAATGCAGGAGGTGGGGTGGGGAGTTAGGTTGGACCATATGGCCAATTAAAAAGCAGTTTTGTTTATTATCTTTGAATTTCTTCCTTCGGAAGAGCTGGAGAGCTCCGTTTGTGTGGTGGAGGTGCAAGAAAAGTTAAAGGTGCACGCTGCAGTTCTGAATATCCTAAGTGAACTCAAACAGAGCAGCTTGAAAACGCTCTAGATTTCCAGATGCTCAAAAAAATTGAAATAGGGGTGTGCGCTCAATGTAAACAAAGCACACAAATCTGCTGAAACCCCACCAAAAAGTGTTAGGTGTAAAGGGAAGAAAGTGTGGGGGGGAAGTGAGGATTTAAAGGAGGCTGGATGAAAGATGGATGAGAGAGAGAGAGAGAGAGCTCGAGGAGGAAGAGTGATGGAGAGGAGGAAGAGGAGGGAGTAAAAGTTGCATGAGACCTGGCCATGGTGGAGAAGGAGCTGATGCAGAAAGAAGTGAGAGGGAACCAAAATAGATTAAAGTCGGGATCAGACAGGAAAGTTCATCGGGTGGGGAGGAGGAATTTATGGCAGGTGTGTAGGTTTTTTTTTATATTTCAATGTTGGAGAGGGACGAGGTGAGAGTCAAGAGGAAAGCTGCACTTAATGTAGGCACGAGGAGACGGAGGCCTTGTCAGGATGATGGATAGACGCATCAGAAGCAGACAGGCGTGAGAGCTCTTCCTCCCGCAGCGGCCCCGAATCCACCATCAGAACCAATCCTGTAACCTCAGTCTGAATGTGGGCCACCGGCTGGCCCCGAGCAGGTGAACAAAGATGCGTCTTTTTTTGCTTTTCTTTTTCTTTTGTAGAGGAGCCTCTGTTATTGTTTGCTGTGCCCCCACTTTGCTGTGATCATCCCCATGCAAACATCCAAACACGATGTGAAACTGATACAGGCTGCAAGTGTAAAACGAGCAATCCAGAGCAGTAAACAAATGGACGGACCTGTCACTCTCCCAGCATCACTCACATTCTTCTTCTTCTTGAATACATCAACAGTTTACAGTTTTTGTTTTGGCCACATCCTGGTATCATCATGTGCAAACAGTTCTGCCCCCATTAGGACTCAATGCTGCAGCCAATGGTCCTGCAGCCAAAATATAATAATAATAATAAATACTTTAAGTCAAAGGGTACTCTCATTATGGGGACACAGGGTCTGAACATTTATTAGGAGTTTAAATCTCATGTCTCTCACCAAAATTTTTACATCCACCTTCTTTATTAATGAATTCAGAGATGTTGACAGGCTATAGCAGGTAAAAACCCAGGGTGCAGGCGGGTTCTAAAATAGAAAACAAGGTATTTAATTTAAATCAAAAGGCTGGCAGTTCAGCACAAAAACTCACATGAAAGTCCACGGCAGACTGAACAATGATCCGACCAAGACAGAAGACAAGACTCGGAATATAAAGCAAACAAATTAAGAGACAATGGGAAACACCTGGGGAGACAAAAGAGGAAACACGTGAGCGTGGGCGGGGCTGGAGGTGAGACAACAGGGAAGAGAAACACAGGGGGAACAGAGAAAACACTAGAAAATGAAGACAAAAACACAGATCATGACAGATGTTAGATGTTCCAACATAAGATCTCCACATTTCTGTCAGTTATCATGACTGTGTGGAGCTGAGAAATTCTCCATGCCAACAGAGGTGTGTGTGTGTGTGTTTTAGTATTTGTTACATTATAAGGCCCATTTTTCCAAAATATACCTTGTGGCATTGGCAGTTCAGGCAAGGGCGCTGTCCGTCTGGTGCGCCACATGAGGGATGAAAAACCACCTTTTATACTGTTTTATCAGTATAGTTGATTTAGTCTGTACAATAATCACTGGTTACTCAAATTTATAAAGGTACCTTGTTCTGTGGGTTTCTCAGCTTCTTTTTTGTGAGAGGTTTTATGATGCAGATGATATTTCATGAAAATATAAAATGTATAAGAGAGAGTATACCCCTGAACCCCCCTAGAACTTCACTCCACAGCTGCTGGTTAACTTGAACAGGTGTTCCTCCTTGCTGTCAGCAGATGTTGGCAGTAGACTTCAGGTATTTTGTATATTTAATTGGACAACCTGGTTTCTAAAGATAAAAATATATATATATATAAAAGAAAACTTTTTAAATTTGGCAGTGACATTAATACCCACTACTCCTTATAAGGACTAAAGATTGAGCCCCATAAGTTCAAATGCTATTTTATTTTATTTTTTGGGAAGGGGTTTAGGTTTAAGACTAAGGTGTGAATTAAGGGTGAGTTAGGTTTAGGGTAAAGATCAGGTTCAGGCTATAGAAATAAATGAAAAAAAAAAAGAATGTAAAATAGAAGTAAACGAAGAAAGACATAATATGTTTGTGTGTTTGTATGGGCAAAGGTGTATAGAATCATTTTAATGAGTAGCTTTTTTTCCTCATTGTTTAGTAAAGATTAGGTCCAGAGTCATAAAAGAAGACTGAAATGTAAACATGTACAAGATGTCACCATTAGACTGCTTCAGAGGAACAGAAGACGTGATTGAACTTTGGGATTGTCAGTTCTAGAAACAGCATCATCTCCTCCACTCTGACAGAACCAGTGTCCTGCAGTCAAAAATGGAAAACATCAACTGTAAAAGTAGAGATTGACCATAGGACTGCCTCTTCAAATAACTGTGCAGCCTTGATTTTTTTGGCCTGAAATGAGATGACGTGTGGCCATAAAGGCTTCAGAACAATGGTCACAAATCAGCAGGGAGAGACATGGAAGGGAATCAGTTGTTTGGGTTCCACAAAGGCAGAGATTGGCTCACTGCTGAGGCCTGCTGGAGTCAGGATTGGCAGTGCCTACAAGAGATGGATGGTGTTCCCATGAATAACTCATTTATGTCTTTAATAGCACCTGGGCAGAGGAATTGTTGGAAGAGAGGGAAGGTGTAGCAGAACTCTGTGCACTTTATCAATCCAAGAACACAATGTGCTCTGGCTTTATAAGAAATCGGACTTTACTGAGAAACAGAAAATTGAGTTTTATTTTAAATCAACTAACCTTTAAAGCAGCACACATTGGATCTTTGAGACGACTTATTCAGCTACGTTCTGTCAGAACTATTAACACTCAGCTTTAAACATGTTCAGAAACAGGCCTGCAGAGGAAAAAAAAACTTTAGAGAAAATGCATTCTCTGCAAAACAGCTGTGTAAATGCTGAGAGCTGAATGATTGCTGAACCTCGCTGAAAAGGCTGAAACTTAGTTGTTAAAGCTAAAACAAGCAAAACACTAGACTAGCTAATCAAAGGAAAATGCTATCTAAAAGCTAAAATGATCAAAACGCTAGCTTAAACAGCAAAAGCAAAATGCCAGCTAAAAGCGAAGAGTATCAGAACACTAGTCAAAAGTATCAATAGGCCAGCTAAAAACTAATGTAGCAAAAGCTGGGTAGAAGCTAAATATAACTAAAGTGTAGCTAAAAGTAACAAAATGCTAACTAAAAACTAGAAGTAGCAAAATGCTAGGCTAGAAGAATCAGAAGAATGGCTAAAAGTGTCAGTAGGCCAGCTAAAATCTAATGTAGCAAAAGCTGGGTAGAAGCTAAAAGTAACAAACAGGTAGCTACGAGTTAAAAACAGCTAAAGGTTGGTTAAACAGCAAAAGAATAGTTAAAATTGGGTTAGCTTGAAGTTAACAGGAGCAGACACGTATATAAAAGCAGTAAAAGGCTAAATAAAAGCTAAAAGTAGCAGAATGTTAACTAAAATCAAGAAGTAGCATAAAAAGACAAAAATAGATCAAGTTAGCTAAAGCAGTTTTAAGAGAGATCAATGTTTTGAAATCAACTGAATCGATCTAAATGTATTTCTCTGAGGAAAATAGTTGTAAACAAAAATGGTTGAATGGCAGGCGAATATGAAATCACCTGTTTGTGTTTGTTGATTTTTCTCAAATCTTGCATGAACTTCTGAACAGACTGGAACAAAACTCTCTAAAAGTAATCAGGACAATAATTAAACGGATCCTGACTTCACACAAGAGTGCAGTTTTCTCTGATTAATAAAAGAAAATACAGGCTTTTTCTTCATTAATGCTTACATGTAAATTATAGAGATTAAGGAAAAAGTCACCTAATTCAAGCTTTTGTCCAATTAAATACATAAAGGAACTGCTTGGCCTTTATTTTAAACACTTGGTTATTTTGCCCCTGATTCAGCTATTTCTGCACCATAAAGCCGCTGCAGGAGCACAGGTAGAACGGTTTCTTCCTCTGTCTGACATTTAACACCTTAATGATCACTCCAGAGGTGCTTAATGGCTTCTTGGATGTGAATCTCCTCACTCTGCAGGACGCTGTCTTTTCTGAAGACACCTGGACTCTCTGTTTTGCAGGAGGTGACCTTTGCAGATGAATGTGTTTTTTCGAGGTTCTGTGTTTGTCTCTTTCCGATGTGGCATCACTTCGAGGGTGATGAGATGGGTCGAAATAGGTCGGACACCTCATCTTGCTTAATCAGGGCTTGTGCAGAAAGAAAAACCAGGTGTGGCTCAGGGTGAAAGGAGAGGCTGATATAGATGTTTCAATCTGCCTGCGTTGCTTGTTCACCTCCCTGTCAGGGTGAC